TTCTATTGTTGTGACTTAGATGACATTCAGAGCACATTTTATGCCCAATTCAACTTTCACAACTGTATATTATAACATGGCTTAGTGCAAAGTTTCAGTGAAATAAAATGTGCCTAAAAGCTAGCAAGTCTGCTGTGCTGTCCCTTTAGCTAGCCCATAGTGCTCCGGAAAGATTTTGTCATCTATTGTTTATTTGTAAAACAAAGAACAAATATAAATAATGGACAAAAAAATATAAAATAACAATCACATTGACATGGAGGGTACTCTCACCAAACAGTCATACTGACACAGAGGATGCTCTGATTGGATGGTCAGGAATGGTCAGACTGACAAAGAGGGTGCCCTCGCTGGATGGCCACGTTGACCCAGAGAAAGGGATTGTGAGGTGCTGGAATTGGATTTTTCTCACTCAACAAGGAGATGTTGGTTGGGCTTGACAACTAGTCCTTGGCTGTGCTACCTCAAAGTACAGCCCTCCCAAGAGGTGATGGCCTCACAGATTGAGAAATCCAAATTAAGTCAATGAAAAAATTGCCAGACAGTCGTCCCTTATTAGGGGCACTATTATATATAGGACATGTTTAACACAACCATCAATGTTCTTTTCCTGATTCAGTACACTATCCTGGATTTTTGATCCAGAGTCCTATAGTAGGCGCATTATTCTTTTCCTCTTAAACCCCAATTTAGTAGGGATTGTCAGGCCCCAGAACGTGTTGGATACCTTTTATCTTTTCATTATCACATTGTGTTTCACAATAAATGATTATGGACTCTTAAAATGATGTGTTTTTGTTCGTTTTTTTTTTTTTGTTAAATTAATTTATACCTACATGGAGGGGCACTGTCACTGGAAAGTCACACTGACACAGAGAGCGCTCTCACTAGACAGTCACATGAACACGAAGAGCCACCGGATCACTTCTACAGTGTGACGTTGTGTATTCTACAGGTCTTTTGATTTCAGAAAATATTGTTTTAGGGATTAAAGAAAATTTTCAAACCAAAAATGGGCATTTTAGAAATTATGTGAAAAAGAATAAAATGGTCCTGCAGAAAAAAGGTTAAATTTGAAAATGGCCAACAAGATTAAACCCAGAAGCAAACATATAATATATTGCAGCTTACCAGTTCTTAGATGTGATGGCTGCATTCGTTTTCTTTCCTAGACTTTTTTTTCCTTTTATTTTTAAACCTTTTTTTCCCTTTATTATCACCATTAACAGACCAAGCTGTCCAGCAAACATGGCATTTAGAGGGTTGAGATAAACTATTAACCACTAACAGGGTCAATTGTCAGCATTTATTCATTTATGGAAAACCTTTATCCCAGCATCTCTCAATCTTTATTTACCCTTGAGGAACCCTTAAAATAATTTTTCATCAGGGGTCATTAGGAAAATGCTCATTACATTGGAGGCCAGCAGAAAGAATGCCCCTCTTACAAAATCGAATCTGGCGGATCTGGGTCCGCCTGAAAAACTGACAGGCTGACCCAATCGAACCATCAATGTGAAAGGGGCCTAAAGAAAAAAAAAAGCCTAAAAAATATATAACTAAAGCATCTACAGATTAGTAAACTGCAAGAGATTACATTTTTGTTTTCGGCTACTTTCACACTGCTCCACTGCAAAAGCGCGGTAAAAGCACATATGCATTTTTGACGCATTTCCAATGTGTTTTGCACCTGTTAAAAAAAAGAACATGTAACTCAAAAAATGCACTAAAAATGCAACTGTGGGTACATTGTTGATGAGTTTTCTATTCATTTCAGTGGGAGGTGAGTTTTGTGTGCTCCTTTTTGCCGCACCAAATATGCAACTTGCAGGACGTTGAAAAACGCAACGGACCAGCAGCCGATCAGTATGAAGCGTTCACTAAGATTTAATGGTCATGGGTTTTTTCTTCTGCTTTTGTTAATGCAAAAAACCGAAGAAAAACTGATGGGTGTGAAAGCAGCCTAAGGGTTTAAATACCTTTAACTCTTTGGACCAGAGCGTACACAAATACGCGGCTTCTTAATGACTGGACCTTGGCGCCGAGGGGCCACATATTTGCGTACCCAAAAGATGAACCGAGAGTGCGCCCCTGTGCAATCCCAGCAGTTACCAGCGCCTCACACATAGGTTCCAGTCGCTGCTTGCGGTCGGGAGCTTTCTGATCATGTGACTCCTGTGACAGCCAGTCATGGTAGTCACATGATCCTAAACCCAGCCCTGCCTCTCAGCGGCACCAGCGCCAATGGGTTAAAGTGTTACTAAACCCACAACAGTAAAATCAGTCTGTATATGCAGTAAAGCATGCTTGTTATACTCACTGTGGAACCTAAGGGGTTAATCCTCTGCATTGTGTAAAAAGGCTGTTTGATCCTGTCTTCTCTGTTCCTCCTCTTGTTCAAATGTCAACCACTTATCTCCTGATAAGACAGACTGAACCTGTAGCCCTTCTTCACATGCTCAGTTTAGTGTGTATTGCTAGAGAGGTTTTTTTTTTTTGAGAGTGAATATGATCAGCACAGGGCCCATCAGCACTGTTCTGACAAAGCTCTGGGGTTCTGCATCCTCCAAGTGCAGAAAGAAAACTCCTTCTACAAGCTGTAACCAGTGCTCTGCTGGACACTGATAGAAGTCAAGGACTGCTCTAACTGCTGATGAGAAAAGGTATTTAGCAGTTTTAATATTACTAAAATTGCACTTCCATGTTGTGTGTACTGTGGGAGAGCGAATATAGTGAATGCAGGGTCTGGGGACACCAAATATAGTAAATGCACGGTCCGGGGACACCAGATATAGTGAATGCAAGGTCCAAGGAGACCAGGGTGAATGCAAGGTCCGGGGACACCAGATATAGTGAATGCAGGGTCTGGGGACACCAAATATAGTAAATGCAGGGTCCGGGGACAGCAGATATAGTGAATGCAGGGTCTGGGGAGAGCGGATATAGTGAATGCAGGGTCCGGGGAGACCGGACATAGTGAATGCAGGGTCCGGGGAGACCAGATATAGTGAATGCAGGGTCCGGGGAGATCAGATATAGTGACTGCAGGGTCCGGGAGACCAGATATAGTGAATGCAGGGTCCGGGGAGATCGGATATAGTGAATGCAGGGTCCGGGGAGACCGGACATAGTGAATGCAGGGTCCGGGAGACCAGATATAGTGACTGCAGGGTCCGGGGAGACCAGATATAGTGAATGCAGGGTCCGGAGAGACCAGATATAGTGAATGCAGGGTCCGGGGAGACCAGATATAGTGAATGCAGGGGAGAGACCAGATATAGTGAATGCAGGGTCCTAGGAGACCAGATATAGTGAATGCAGGGTCAAGACCAGATATAGTGAATGCAGGGTCCGGGGAGACCAGATACAGTGAATGCAGGGTCTGGGAAGACCAGATATAGTGAATACAGGGTCCAGGGAGACCAGATATAGTGAATGCAGGGTCTGGGAAGACCAGATATAGTGAATGCAGGGTCCGAGGAGACCAGATATATTACCGAATGCAGGGTCTGGGAAGACCAGATATAGTGAATGCAGGGTCCGAGGAGACCAGATATAGTGAATACGGGGCCTGGGAGACCAGATATAGTGAATGCAGGCTCCGGGGACACCAGATATAGTGAATGCAGGGCCTGGGACACCAGATATAGTGAATGCAGGGTCCGGGGAGACCAGATATAGTGAATATGGGGCCTGGGGAGACCAGATATAGTGAATGCAGGGTCCGGGGAGACCAGATATAGTGAATACAGGGTCCGGGGAGACCGGATATAGTGAATGCAGGGTCCGAGGAGACCAGATATACCGAATGCAGGGTCTGGGAAGACCAGATATAGTGAATGCAGGGTCCGGGGAGACCGGATATAGTGAATGCAGGGTCCGAGGAGACCAGATATACCGAATGCAGGGTCTGGGAAGACCAGATATAGTGAATGCAGGGTCCTGGGAGACCAGATATAGTGAATACAGGGCCTGGGGAGACCAGATATAGTGAATGCAGGCTCCGGGGACACCAGATATAGTGAATGCAGGGCCTGGGGACACCAGATATAGTGAATGCAGGGTCCGGGGAGACAAGATATAGTGAATATGGGGCCTGGGGAGACCAGATATAGTGAATGCAGGGTCCGGGACACCAGATATGAATGCAGGGTCCTGGGTTTAGTAACACTTTAAGGTAACACATCCCATGTTTGCACTGGTGGTATAACATAAAATAGGAACCTCCCAACATCTTCCCACAAACAGTACATAATACGCCTGATTGGGTTTAAAGGGATGAGGTGGCAACCCAGACACATATTCATTACACAGGTTCTGGGGCTGATTAAAGTGGTTATTAAACTCACTTGGTGCTTTATCTTCATTAAATTATCCCCAGACCCTGTGTCATTCATATGTATTTGGGTATAAAGGGATGAGGTGGCAGCCCCACCATCTGACGGGTGTACTGCTATCTGCTGTCCATCAGAGACTCAGTGGGCTCTGTAGAATCACCCATCATCACTACAGGATAATTGTTCTTATCGCGGCTGTTCCCGGGAACAGAAAATAGTATCATTAATAATTATGACAATACATAAAGCTTTGGAACACGCTGAAATATCACTGACAACCTGCTCTACAAGAGGAAGGTTAGAAAGTCATCAGAAAATCAGGTTGTGACATGCAGTAATCATCCTTGCACAAAAAACGAAATGAATCCAATCACCATATGCCATGTGTAGAGATCCATTCAAGCAATCACAGCCAATTAGCAGCATAAACTAGAGGAGACGAGGGGGAGGATGCACCTTCAGCAGGCAGCCAGGCTCTACTTCATGGGGAGTAGATAACCTGTCATAGCAAAGTGGCCTCTACCCTCAGCTGAGAGCCATACGGCCATCCGTCACATGAAATGAAAAGGATGAAGCAGCACATAGACCTGTACATTAAATCAGTGGTCTCCAAACTGTGGCCTGGGGCCAGATGTGGCCCTTTGCTTGTTTTTATCTGGCCCTGGAGCCCTATTCTTCCCACTTATATAAGGCACTATTCCTCCCATTGAAACCAAAAATGGGGCATAATTGTTGTCACTGATACTGAGAATAGGACACTATTCCTACCCCTGGGGCACAAATTTTCCCACTGACGCCAATGATGGGCACTATTTCTCCCACTGACACCAACGATAGGGCACTATTCCTCCCACTGACACCAACAATGGGGCACTATTCCTCCCACTGACACCAATGATGGGGCACTATTCCTCCCACTGACACCAACGACGGGGCACAATTCCTCCCACTGACACCAACGACGGGGCACTATTCCTCCCACTGACACCAACGACGGGGCACTATTCCTCCCACTGATACCAACGACGGGGCAATATTCCTCCCACTGATACCAACGATGGGACACTATTCCTCCCACTGACACCAACAATGGGGCACAATTCCTCCCACTGACACCAAACGATGGGGCACTATTCCTCCCACTGACACCAACAATGGGGCACAATTCCTGCCACTGACACTAACAATGGGGCACATTCCTCCCACTGACACCAACAATGGGGCACTATTCCTCCCACTGACACCAACAATGGGGCACTATTCCTCCCACTGACACCAACAATAGGGCACTATTCCTTCCACTGACACAAAAAAAACCGGCACTATTCCTTCCACTGAAACCAACAATGGGGCATTATTCCTCCTACTGACACCAACAATGGGGCACTATTCCTCCCACTGACACCAACAATGGGGCATTATTTCTCCCACTGTCACCAACAATGGGGCACTATTCCTCCCACTTCTACCAATGACATGGCATTGTTTACTCCCATTAACGCCAGGGTATTGTCTACCCACACTGGCTACAGTCCAGCCCCCTCAAATTCTGAAGAACAGTAAACTGGTCCTTTGTTTAGAAACTTTGGAGACCCCTGCATTAAATTAACCTGCCTGTACATATAAAAAAAAAAAAAACACAGAGCACTTCTCTGTGTTGCTCTGTCCCACCGATTTGTACTTTTTGCTGTTGTATTTAACTGTATTGATTCATTGTTTGATGTGTGCTGGCATCTAGTCGTGATTAGGACCTCCTCAACCTGTTTACTTAGGGGATTTGGTATCGTTTTCTGTCATGCCCTCCTGTTTAGTGCTAGTTAGTTCAGTCCTAGTTAGGCCTTCCCTTTTTCTTCCATGTTCCCCAATCAGTGTTAAGCCTGGTACACATGATCCGAATATCAGCCAGTTCAGCAGGAACCGGCCATCATTGGCACAGTGTGTACAGCTCTCTGTCAGACAGAAGCTGGTCCAACGACCAGCTTTTGTCTAAGGGGCATACTGGAAAACATCAGTGGCATCCAATCAGTGCTCCGTGTGTCCTGGTGGAAGGGCAGTCCTTCTGTCAGAATACAATAGCTCAGCAGGAGAGATCGCCGCACTAACATTACTTAGTATGATATATATACCATGCCTTGGTAGGTTTGCAGTTGTGCCATACTCTTTCCGATGGATTGAACAGCTCCGTGAGATCTTCAAAGCTTGGGATGTTTATTTTAAAACCTAACCCTGCTTTAAACTTCTCCACAATTTTATCCCTGACCTGTCTGGTGTGTTCCTTGGCCTTCATGTTGCTGTTTATTCACTAATGTTCTCTAACAAACCTCTGAAGGCTTCACATAAAAGCTGTATTTCTACTGAGATTAAATTACACACAGGTAGACTCTATTTACTAAGTAGATGATTTCTGAAGGCAATTGGTTCCACTAGATTTCAGTTAGGGGTATCAGAGTAAAGGGGGCAGAATACAAATGCATGCCACACTTTTCAGATATTTGTAAAAAAAAAAATTGAAAACCATTTCTCCTTTTCCTTCCACTTCACAATCATGTGCCATTTTGTGTTGGTCTATCACATAAAATCCCAATAAAATACATTTACATTTTTGGTTGTAACATGACAAAATTTAAAAAATTTCAAGGGGTATGAATAATTTTTCAAGGCACTGTATATATAAATATATATATTTTTTATTGTTTTATGGTCATAATGCAATCATGGTAAGAACACACAAAGCAAGCACATTAAGGCTACATGTGCACTTTTGTTCTACTGGCAGCAGAAACACGTGTGAACGTGGTACCACGTTTAGTGCTCAGATGTTTATACATTTCATTGGCCAGAGTACTTGGCATTGAAATAAATACCCACGGTTAGCGCTTAAGCATGTTTAGACGCGTTGTTGCTGCCTTCTGCATTTTTGGCCATAACATTCTTCTGAAGGCAATTCGTTTAACTGCCCTAAAACTCTGCTGGTGGACACATAGGCTTTTATTGAGTTGAATTCAGGGGCTTTGGCAAAATAAAACGCCCAAAACTCCTAAACTCAGGTTTAGAAGCAGCAGTGTGAGCGAGGCCTTATTGATTAATTTGTTTATTTATTTTACAGCATTGCACCAGTTTTGAAGTAATATTTGTCATGTTTTTTTCCATGCTTGCCATAAGCGCAAAGTTTCTCTTTTATAATGGGCTTCAGTAGACCCCTGAAGGTATGCTGTGGTATCTGGCACCAAGCAGTCAGTAGCAGATCCTTTAGGTCCTGTAAGTTGTGAGGTGGGGCCTCCATGGATCAGACTTTGTTTTTTTTTCCAGCACATCCCACAAATGCTTGATTGGACTGAGTACTGGAGAGTTTGGAGGCGAAGTTAAGACCTTGAAGACACCTTCTTCCATTGCTCCATGGTCCACTTCTCATTCTCGCGTTCTCATTGTAGCCAGTTTTGGCTGTGTACACGGGTCAGCATGGACACCCTTACCGGATCTCCGACTATGCAGCCCCATACACAACAAACTGCGATGCACTGGGGTTTATTTACTAAACCTGGTTGACTCAGAATCTTGGGCACCTGTGCATGGTAGCCAATCAGCTTCTAACCTTAGCATGTTCAGTTAAGCTTCAGCAATAAAACCTGGAAGCTGATTGGTTTTTATGCAGAAGTGGACAAGATTCTGAGTCAACCAGGTTTAGTAAATAAACCCCACTGTGTCTTCTGATACCTTTCTATCAGAACCAGTATGAACTTTTTCAGCAATTTGAGTTGCAGTAGCTCTTCTAGTGGATGGGACTACACAAGCCAGCCTTCCCTTCACACATACATGAGCGAGCTTTGGCTTCCCATGGCCCTGACGCTTGTTCCCTGGTTTTCCTTCCTTGGACCACTTTTGGTTGGTCCTGACCACTGCAGACCAGGAGCATCCCACAAGAGCTGCAGGTTTGGAGATACCCTGACCCAGTCATCTAGCCATTACAATTTGGTCCTTCTTAAAGTCCCTCATATCCTTACACTTGCCCATTTTTTTCTGCTTTCAACACATCAACTTCAGGGACACCAGGTTCACTTGCTGCCTAATATATCAAACTTTCAGATGCCATTGTCAAAAGATAATTAATGTTGTTATCTGTCAGTGGTCATGATGTTATGGCTGATCGGTGTAGTTTTTGGACAGTTTTAGTTTGTACAATCAGATTGCATTACTATAACTATAGTTGTATCACTGAAAAAGTGGGCAAGTGTAAAGATTTGAGCAAATTTGATAAGGGCCAGCTTAAGGGAAATACATACAGTAATAAAAACCTCTCTGGGATCCCAACCCCTCACCACTCCATCCAAATCTACCAAAGAAAAAGTTTGGATGTTTAACATCCATGAGAGAGGTCTGAGGTCCAAATTGATGTTTACATTCAGGCAGGTTGAGACATAAGGGTTGTTGAGGAAGGCGAATCCATAGACATTCCCTGAACTGAAAAACTATCTATTTGGCAGCCTTTAGCAACCAGTTTGGCTCAGAAAATCTCATTTCAGATAAATGCTTAGACTTTCAGCTCATTAACTTCTGTGGCTCTCCAAAATAAATTAACGAGTTGGGAGCTGTAAACTATTGAACGGCTCACATTTGTGAGTAAGCAAGTTTGTTTCCCGGAGAAGCTCCTCAAAGCACATCACACTAAAATATGTTTCATTATCGGGGAAAACACCGACCATACTTTCCCATGCATCAGGCTGGATGAAGTTCTGGATATATATAAGGATACATGTTGGCTGGATTTAGGCATGTTGTCAGGAAAGGCTTGGCCATAGTGCAAGTGAGGGTTCGCAGCGCATAAATATGCACATGCACAGAACAATAACGGGCCACACAGATGTGCATGGATTTGGGCAAAAGCGAGCATGAATGCGTGCGCACAAATACGCATCCAGGCGCGCGCCTGTCACTAATGCTGGAGCCAAAAGGGCTATTTAAACTGGCTGCAGTCTTGTCTCATTGCTGTTTGGTCTGCAGCTTCTGAGTGTGTTCCTGATCCTCATGCCCAACCTCTAATATTACCCAGCTTGTTCCTGATCTTTGCTTGTCTGCTACCTGCCCTGACCCCGGATTGTCTTGACTACTCTTCTGTCTCCTGATCTTGTCCAATTGTACTTCTGCTGCTGACTTGGCCTGTGACCTGACTTCTCTGCCGTCTATTCTTGATCTGCCCGATTGTTACTGACCCGGCTCGTCTGACTTCGCATCTGCCTACTGCTGGCTACAGTCCATCAGTCTGGCAAGTCCGCATCCGGATTCTGCTTCCTGCTGTTACCTATAACCTGCCATCAAGCAAGATCCGTGCCTAGCTGTCCACCTTCAACCTGTCCTGCTCCTTCACCTGTCTGTGGACTTCCACTCACGCACCTACTACTAGACTGATCACAGGCACTCATACCTCACCGTGCTCCTGTGGCTACTCTCCCACCACTAGTAGCCCTCAAGCCGGAGCTGTACGGGAGGCCTGCCTGTTCACATCAGGCTCACTATCTAAGGTACGTGACACACGTTTTCATTCATTTTTTTTTTTTTCTAAATATTGATGTGGCCAGATATTCCCTTATTATACCAGGTTCAGCCCATGCTTGGAGGGGATGTTGAAATGATATGTAGTACTACCCTTGAAGGAGCCACTTGATAATTTGGGTTCTCTGTTCTGTGCTTCCACTCCAAAAACAACCTTAGCCCCGCAGACCCACCTGGTTGACTGAAAGTTACTGTTTGCACTAACAAGTGTGGATACCTTTAACTCAACTGTGAATTAGCACCAGAAAATAGACACAAGACTGCTTATTGGTAAGTGAACTTAATGTATTGGTTTGGGTTAGAATAAATGACAGTTAGAGCATAAGTGAACACACAGACGTAGGTTCAGTAGACAGTATAATCACTATGCCAAAGTAACTTGAAACAGAGTTCTGTACTAGACTGGAATTAACTCACAAATAAAATCAGCAATAAACCGTGCATATAAGCATTGACTGAATGTGAATAATGATACTATAACTAGTC